GATGACATGATTATGAATTAAAAAAAAAGTTTTTTATTTAGTTATAACTTACATATAACTTTATTATATTAAAAAAGTTTTATAAATATATATTATATTATTCAAATTCTAAGCTTTTAGTTATTTTTATGAGAAAAAAAATTTTTTTTTAAAGATCTAATATATATAAAGAGTTTTTTTTTTTAAAAAAGAAATAAGTTTTTCAAATATTCTTAAGATAATTTAAGTTTTAGAAAATATTTCAACTAGATAGATCCCTTTTGAGAAATTTTTTTCAATATATCAATTCAATAATTTATTATTTTTTATAATAACAAATTGTTAATCTAACTTAGAGTACCAATTTGGTTTGTTTAGTTCAAAATAATTTATAGATTTTTATGATTGCGGGTTAAAAAAAAAAAAAAAATTAACCTCTTTGCAAGACTCATATTCGAGTCTATTAATGCGAGAGTCGGGCATACTTACCGAAAAATCCTGCCAAGAACAAAATTTTTTTTAAAAAAAAAACGATCCATTTTATGTTCAGGCGACGTTAAAGGTGGGGAAATCTTGTTTTGGATGTCATTTGGTCAATAGTTTAACTACTGATGTGAAGACGACAAGTGTGAAATGGTAATTAAAAATTATACCCGGATTCGTTCTTATTCGTTAATGTCAATAATAATTTCAAAAGCTTTGAAATGATTTTTCAAGTAGCACGAAACGTATCGTATCAAATTCTTTATTATGAAAAGACTATCACAGATTGTTGCTTTGTTCCAAGGAGAATGAATCGAAGCGTATTTGTCAACGGCGGAAGATCCTAATATCTTGTTGCACTGTGAACGAGAACAAGTAATCAAATACATGCATATAATAATATCTATCCGTATATGCCCTTAAAAAAAAAAAAGATATTATTATTATTATCAACAGTTTTTGAAACTCGATAAAAAATTGCAATATAATACTAGTATCCGAAATCGTGATCATACAAGAGTATCGGACAAACTTTGGTGGGAATTGATTGCGCACCTTCCCATGTACAACAAAAGGCGTGTTTAATGGTTCGCGTCCATTACAAAAACATTCATTAAAAACAGCGTTCCATTTGACTTATTTTATAGTTTACGCGTATATACAATACATGCTGTTGGTTTTTTGCATTGCTGAAGTTTACATCATCCACAATTGATGCATCAAATTTTCAGAGTGTCCTTGAGTTCACACGTAGTTTATTGTTGGCCATAATTATGTGAATCCAACTTCTGATCTCACGATATTGTCTTGCCGAAATAAAGTGTTTCACATAATAATGAACCCAATTAAATTTATCACGAATACTCGAATGGATTTGTCGTGGATTTTGTCTTTTTCTTTTATACATAAAAATACGAGTAAATCCTTCTAGATTAAAAAAATTAGATATTTTTTTTCTAAAGACGTCGAGAAGATAATGCCTCAGGCATTCTATGAAGCTAGATAAAACGTGCACTCATTATTCTAATATAAATAACTAGCAAAATAAATCATTCATTCATTCATCATTGTTGTAATCTTCCAATACAACCTCAAGCGGATCATTCGTAGCGACAGGACTATATTGATGCCTTGTTCCTGACAAAATATTTGAAACAAATGCTGGAACTCTTATAGAGGAAATAACGTCCATAATGATGGATGGAATTGAAGATAAAAGTGATCGCGTTTCCTCTCCGAGCCGAATCGGACTATTTAAAAACGAAATCATGTAAGAGGCACGACACAAATGATGAAACAACAAATCTTGGTATACCAACCCTAAAGAATATCCAAACTGATCTTGTCTTCTGTAAATCATGCACGCGGTGACAATTCCCACAATAACAAATGGAGACAAGACTAGCAGGATCCAGAAGAGAACGGAATGACCGGCACTAGGACAAGTATGCTTAGCACCCATATAATTCTCTTCGCCACCCTTGCACGTGTTACCATGTATCTTGCGATATCTTGATTATTAAGAACCAAATTAGTCGACACGATAATTCGTGCAAAGTTTAGTATGAAAACGGGAGACACAAAGGAATAGAGAAACTTACCCAGATATGTCATAATAAAATTCACCACCATCAGCGCATTGCTCGCTGACACTGCGTTCCAAAGGTCTTGCACCGGGTACTAACTGACAATAACCGTTGTCATCGCGAATATAATTGTAATCGCTGTATGAAAGACGGATTTAGTATAATGATAATTAATCATCATCGTGATAAAAATGAAGAGAATTTTTTTTTTTCACCATTCAAAATCGTGTTCTGTACAAATGCAATTTTGGGTAATTTCCTTGGGTTGTATAAGCTTCTCGCCAATAGTACAATTCCTTTCAAGAATTCTTCGGTGATATTTGGTCTAAAAAATAGCCAAATTTTCGTTTAGTTCAAATACAATTTTAAAAATTAGTAAGTAATTAGCCATGTCGTCAAGGGCATACCACATGACCGAACAAACATTCATCCCCTTGAGTGTGAGCAGGCGACCATAATTCGAAGTCGTCGTTACTTGGCTTATTGAGGTTTAGTTCACCTAAATTAAATTAATTTGCGATAATATTTTTAATCCCGAGAATCTTCCGAAGTAGACCAATCGATCCGCCAGCCATCTGACGAAGACAAACAATATACAAACATTTTCTCGGTAATATTCCGGTAAAATCGATAAAGACGAGGACTTCTTTATTGGAAATTCCTTCATAACGGCCCCTCAAAATAAATCTGCTGCTGATTCCACCAGGCATGGTTGCGATGTCGTGAACTTTGATGAGCTCGGTGGGTATGGTGAATTGTTTTTCTGCCCACGATATGCCCTCGTTGAAAGAATATCTTGGGGATTTAAATAGAAAATTTTAGCCAGCATCTCCATCAAAGAACAACAATGAGGATATTGTCGTAAAAAAACTTGCAATATATGATCCGTCGGTTTTTCATCATCCACCATTACCAAAATCGAGCCTTGATCTCCAAATTCGTACATATAAGCACCTTTCCTAACTTCCTTCCAAGTCATTCCTGCATCTCTAGTTAAGAAGGTATCCCCGTCAGAGTATGAAGTCAAGTATTGACCGACATTTCCCACGCCCATTATCAAGCCTACAGCTGAAGAAGAACTGAAAGCGTCGCGAGGATCTCGTCGTTCAGTGTAACTATGAAGGTGCAAAGAGCACTTGAAGATTTGTGCAGATATTAGTCCCAGTTCACTTGAATACCTCGCAACCTTATCATAAATCAAATACAATGCAGTACATCGTCACAATTATAAGGTCTACCGTCAGAATCGAATTCAGGACGTTTCAATGGTCTCCAAGTACTTCCTGCACAGGGATTCACGTGAACAAGATGAATACGTTCTTTTAACACAAAATAAATAAAGAGTCTCCAAACTTTTGCTTACCATCATTGAATGTAATCACCGATGAAATTTTTTTAGAACCGCCCATATTAACCTCTTGAGGATTCGTAACTCGGTTGGCCATGGCAATTCCCTGAATTCCACGTATTTTTTCGAAATCAACGAATCCACGCGCATCTTGATACGAATATTCCAACGACAAAGAATAATAAGTTCCGTTAGAATTAGATTTCAATATATTTCCCCATAAGCCTCGAGTTGATGTGGTGACATGGAGCATGATGGCATGAGTTGTAGATTCCAAAATTGTAAACGCCTGGCATAAGGAAAAATCGTTACCGTCAAACACATTAAAGTTCAAGAATGCGCAAGTTATTAATACAAGATGAAAGAAAAAATAAATAAATAAAAACTTAAACCTACACTTCTAGTCAGTTGCATATTAGGTGGGAATTGAGCATTGGCAAAGGTCTCGCCGTCCATTGAGACCATAAGATTGAGACTTTGACCGGAAGATGACAGCTATCATATGCATTCGATAAATTTAATTTGGACAAAGCTCGATAAATAACAACGATGATCGAAAAACAATTGCTAGCGCGTACCTCGGCAACAACCATGTATTCCTCAAATGTGGCAAAGCCAACGATATTTTCAAATTTACAATCAACTTTATTGGAAAAGAAGTCTTTCGAAGTACAGAACCGGAGTGGATTATTGTAGAACGACCTCTGTGAACCCTTCTTTTCACGATACGACTCGCAAAATATCAGGTTCTCATCAACCCTGAATTTTTTATCTCGTGCCCATGTGCATTTGTTAACATATGTATCCATCTGATTCCAACTTTTTCCGCCATCTTTTGTGTAGTAAACCTAGCATAAAGTAAATAACGGGTGAACATAATTGTAGAAAGAAGAAAAATATTGCAATCGTTGTAGGACACGTACCACCGAATGACAATCAGAAAATATCCGATCACATCCTTCACTCGCCGTATAAATGAGCCAATCTGGACGTTCTGGATGGTAATCGAGGATTGGTAATTCGAGAAGATTGGGTCCCAACGGGACATCCATTTTCATGATATCTTGAGCCGCATTGTGTGTGTAATAGTGAGTGGTACCCAGTGTGATAAAATAGGTCTTTTAAAAAAAAAAAAGTTCATTAAAATTTGCAAATACTAATTATGCGAAGATCACAAAATACACTCTCGGTGAAACATACGAAATTGCTGAAATAAGGATTTTGGAGCATCGCAACAATCTTGACATCAGCAAGCTCTGGTATGGCTGTCCATGAATATCCTTGATCATTGCTGCGCCAAATCTGATTGCTTTCGGTACGAATAACCAATATATCTGTCCCGTTGAAATATAAGTAACTTGATATAGGAGAATTAAATAACATCTATTTAAAAAAAAAAAAAAAAAATTCGTTATTTTTAATCACAAAGAACTTTTTTCTTTTCCACAGACGTATAGTTCTCGCACGTAGTAGACAGTTACCGTTTTGACAATGATATCATCCCCTATTATTGAATTTTAAAGATGGATCGATTAGGAGCTAGATCACAAGTGGATAATTATTTGACCAATTATTTTAAACGTACTCGTAAGTTCACAACTTTTTTCGACTTTTTGCGAAAGATCGATTCCACCAACACATTTTGATTCGGAAATTTTGCGATATCCGGACCTTCCAAGATAGGTTTTGCTGCAATTGTGTGGACGATCCGGATCCTGAACAAATGACTTGCATTTACCGTCCTCGCGGAAATAGTTGTAATCACTAAAGCAAAATGTTGTTGTTAGCAATATGGAAACATCATTTTGATATGTGGCGAGATTGCTGAAGAAAAACCTACCATTCGAAATCTCTCTCGGTACATGCACAAATCCTCTCATTGGGTTTCATACTAGAGGTAGAATCGCCGATTTTACATTCTCGATCAGCTTTGCGTCTCCAATAATCCACCTAAAAAAAAAATATCAATGGTGAAATCTATCTAGGTTCTGAAAAATTTCCAAATCGACCGCCAACGTCTTAAACTTACCTCTCTACCCAAGAAACATTTGTTTGGAGTATCATGCATTGGATTCCATAATTCAAAGTCATCAGGTTGACCTAATTTGAGTTTTTGACGAAAATAATATAAGGATTAAATGGGACAAACTGGATTTTGCAAATAAAAGAAATCATCACAAACATGTTCTTTTTTCTAATTGGGTAAAGTCGATATTAACAACCACCGGTTTGACCTCCGAAGAAATTTCAAGTCCCGTTAATATAAACTTCATGCTGGTTGCCTTAGGATTAGATATAATATAAGAGAGGCGAACAGATCCTTGGTAGAAGACGTATTCGTTCCAGTGCGCTCCATAATCCCAGCTATATCTGAGTGTGGTTGAAAGAAAGGAGGACGAAAAAAAAATATGTATGACTAGGACAAAGCCGAAAGCACACAATTTATGAGTTCATCCTATATTTATTTCTCTTACTTTAACTTATTTGTAGGACCTTCATCATCCACAACTGCCAATATGGTACCTTGGTCACCAAATTCGTACAAGCTTTCACCTGAGCGAATTTGAGTCCAAGTGCGACCGGCATCACGACTCATGTACGTCTTGGATTGTTCGTATGGCTCTAGATACTCTCCCTCGTTTCCAACGCCTATCAATAGTCCAACAGCAGAGCTTTTGCTAAAGACACCGCCGGACCTCCTAATATCGGTCCGGCCATGCAAATTTAGATAGCCATTCTGATTATAAGAATAATAGTAAAGAACAATAAGCATCAGTGTGACCTCAAGCTAACAGGTGAAAACGAAGGATCCCTACTAGGTTGCTATTAATTTTCAATCGTTCCCATGTAGACCCTAAAAAAAAAAAAAAACAATGTAAAAATTATATCTTAATAATGAGTCTTGATTGTGCACATTCTTTCGTCAAGTTGTTACCGACCGTCATCGAAACTTATCATTGTAACAATTTTCTTGCTGACCCCTTTCTTTAATTCTAGTGTGTTGCTCACAACATTAGCTAGTATTATTCCATCCATGCCTCGAACTTTTTCGAAATCGACGTTCCCATAACCGTTTCGATTGGTGTTTTCCAAGCTTAAGGAGAAGAATGTCCCATCCCCATTGGACTTGAACAAAGAACCATACTCTGCATTGTATTCAAATGATTGATACGCATCGAGAAATATGGAGCCGGTGTTTGATTGCAGAAGAGTGTATGCCTATTTTGATTATAAAAAAATTGAAAAATTTTTCCCCACAAAAAAAAGCAAATTTCGAATATGCTTTGCGCCTGCGCCCATAAAATACGAATAATTTACTTTTTTGTCTATCTTAACATCTGGCGGGAATTTGGCTTCATTAAAGTTCGTACCGTTCACAGAAACGAACAGGCATAGCTGACCATTTTTTTCCTGAGTATTTTCGAAACCGAAAAATTAGTTTTGACAGAATGCATGGTGGAAATCAAATAAATAATGAACAAGACTGGTACCGTAGCGACGGCCATGTATTTATTGAAAACAAAATATTCAACAAGATCCGATAATTTAACTTCTTTCGTTTTTCCAAAGTCCTTTGTAGATATTAACCTCAATGGGTTTGCTTCCGTCGATTTACCACCCAAACTCTCTTGTCCACCGGCATAATTTTTATCCTTATATGATGAGCAAAATATGGTCGTCTCGTCTGGTTTACTGAAATCGGTGTCCCGTCCAAAAATGCATTTTTCCGCCCAGGTCTCAACAAGCGTCCATGTTGCACCATTATCTCGACTAAAGTATGATTCCGTGTGACATCCAGGGCACGAGGTACTTCCCAAGAATAAGAGCCAGTCAACGTTGTCTGGATGAAAATCAAGGATGGGACGGCCAAAAGTGTTGGGTCCCAGTGGAATATTTATTTCGGTAAATTGACCACCACGGTCAGAGGTGTACAATAATTTGTTATCTTCTGTGAAGGCGAAGGCCTATTCGTATGAAACGAAGAACGAGAGGAGAATCAGGAAACCGACTCTTTCCTTCCTTTTCGCAGGAAAATCATGAAAATAAAATATGACATACTCTGGTGCTATCATGCTCGTGCAAGATCAAATACACGATACGATTTAAAATAAGTTTCCATGAAGTGCCATCGTCAACACTTCGATAAATATTACCATTGACATCTCTGGATAATACCACCTATATAAAAAAGTTATGCCCACCACCATTAGATCATTCATTATTGACCGGTGAAATTTCTAAACACACTTGTGCACATCAAGAATTACGCTAACCGTTGAGTTCGTAAAATATGAGAGTGTGTCAAAATTGTAGTAAGAAATGCTGGAAGTGATGTCTCCGGGTGCGATATGATCTATTTGAAAAAAAAAAAAAAGAGCCATTGAGGCATTCCAAACAATGATAATCGATCGATGAGAATTCAATCAATTACCTTTAGTACATTCCTTTTCTACTGGCTCATCCTTCCTCTTCGCGTTGGGAGCATCTCTGTCACATTTATTTCCCGGAACAAGTCTGTACCCCGAGGATGCCCAATATTTATCCCCCTCCTTCCTACACTTTCCGGGCGGTACGTAACCTTTGACCACTTCCACGCACTGTTTTCCTTGGTTATCAAAAGCGAAATTGTGGTCGCTACAGAGTTGCACACAGATATGTGAATCGTCTGCGAATAGACATGGCAAGAGTCTAACAAACAAATTTCAATCATAGCAATTCACCATTCATAATCTTCGTCATCACATGGACAGCTCCTTGTTATTATTTGTTCGTGCTTATGATCTTTTCCAACGTAGCATTTGGCGTCCTTCTTTCTGCGCCGATACGTCGTCTGAATAAGATTGCAAAAAAAAAAAAAAAAAAAAATAAGTCAACCTTTTTTTTTTTTAGAAATTAAACATACACACGAATGTGCGTCTCCTGTTGACTTGGCACCGACCGTTTGTCCCATCAAACAATCCTGAACACCGTCAATCTTTCGAGCCTGCCATTGTTCAAAGTCATTGTCTGTACACTGCCGGTCATGTAAATCCTTGAAACTAATCTTGAATATGAAGTAACGGTGTAAACTGTCTTGATTTGATAAAATCGAGCCTATAAGGATAAAGCTTTGCGATGCTGATTCAGGATCCGCTGTGAGCATTTTTGCGCGAATTTGAAACGATATCCCTAGACTAAACTCCTCCCTGTGGAAAAACAGGATCTTAGAATTCGGAAGAAAAACTCGGGTGGCAAAATTGAGATATATCAAATGGCCTACCAATTTTCACCATAATCCGAGCTATACCAAATCTTGTCGGTGGGAGTCTTATCGTCCACCGCAACAATCAAAGAGCCCATGTCGCCAAATTCATATTTATGCGGTCCAAGCCTGGCAACTTTCCAGGTGAGCCCTCCGTCGGTAGACAAGAAAGTATCACACTGTTCATAGGGAAAAAGATATGATCCAACATTGCCAACGCCCATAAGAAATCCCGGGGCAGCCGATGACGAATAGATGAATCCATAATTGCTTGCGGTGGTGATCGAGTGAAGGTGTAAAGAGCAATCACCGCTTTCCCAATTTGTAACCGAACAATAAAAGTTCGAACCCCCGAAATTCTTATCTGGAGGACGGATATATTTCCAGGATGAAATTTTACCATCCTCGAAAGAAATCTTTGAACGTATTCTCTTGGCAATAGCACTTCCATCATCAACCTCATGCCAATTGTCGACCACGTTCGCAATTAAGATTCCATTCACGCTTTGCACCTTCTCAAAGTCCACATTTCCTTGAATATTTCTGTTTGTGTGATTCAAGCTATCGACAAAGTATTCACCATCCGAATTTGAAATAAATAACTTTCCGGTGCTTGTCTTCGAAGAAAGAACATCGATCACCAAATGATAAGGGGCCGATTCCAGTATGGTGTACGCATTCTCCTTTTCCTTTTCCTCAAACTTCGCATCCAGAGGAAAGATTGCTCTTCGCCAATCTTGACCTCCCTTTGATACAAACATCTCAAGGTCGTACGTTCTAACATTCTTAACTGCGGCAATCAAGTATTCCTGTGTGGCACCGATACCCAACGCGGCAACGGGGTCGGTACCATTAAAGTTTACAATGCTCGACGAGGCGAAATAATTCTCGGATACAACCAAACTGTAGTCAGTCCACTTTCGCATGGATCCATCGGTGGACGGATTGTAACGAATGCAAAAGACGGTAGAAGTTGGCGCGTCTTGTGACTCTTTCGTGGAACGCGCCCATATACATTTGTCCGTATATTTCAGGAGTAATTTGGGGGGATTACTAAAGTTATCATCGGTGTAATACGTCTACATAAAGTAATGTTTTTTTAAGTAAGTTACACATGATCAAGAAAAAAGCGCCTCCCTTAAATAATCAATAAAAAACATGCCTCATCATTGCAATCATTATTTTCCGAACATCTTGTTCCCCTAAACAAAATCAGATCATGCCTCTCCGCATGAAATGACAGGACCCCGCTTTTTATGGCCGGCGGAATTGGAGTGGTGAATTCGATCCAAGATTCTCCCTTGTCGGTTGTCTTGTAATGTTTGTCCCCTAAAGTCAAGATGAACGCCTGCGCAGTCATGGAAAATCGGTAAATCGATAAGATCGTCACATTCCTCTTCATTACATGAAAAGACTTACCCGATCTGACTTCTCAAACGGATGTTGGATCAAGGCAACGGCTTTTTTCTCGGGAACACCAGAGATTTTATTCCAAGTCCCACCTTCATCCGTCGATCGATAAACGTCGCCAGAGTAGTCCAGAAACAGGAGGACCTATATTATTACATCAATACGCGAACACATGCTCATTAAATGAAATCTATTCAATTGGCCGTTAACTGGCCGGCAAATATAAAATCATTGGGTATATATTCACTTCGGAATCCTTAAAGTAAAAAAATTGAGCTGGCCTATGCTCGAAACCAGTGCGTTCTTTTCTCGGAGAACCGGAGGATACAACCAAGGACGCGCATAGGATCAAGAATATAATATACAATATTCGGTGCGAGTCGAATTCATTAAATAAGGGTGAAACACCCTGGTTGATTTTAATTTTTTTCATTCCGGTAGACACAAACAACCTTGAAAAGTTTGTTTGTACGTAACCTTGTACTAGCAATTACACTCCCTCAGCCAAATATTTATGCCTATCACACGGTCATTCAGGGATGGGAGTCACATGACTCTGCGCATACATTAGTATGATAAATTTACGTTGATAGAACTTTCCATCGCACATGGTCGTACAATACCAGTTGAGACGCGTCAGGATCCGGATTCGCGAGAATCCGCTGATTGCAAAGGATTGGGTAAGAAAAAAAAAAAAAAAAGGCAAAATTGGATGCATCAGGGATTGCATCCAACGTTTAAAGATTCAAATTATATAAGACGTTCCTTTGCGGGCAGTCAAATTTCACACATGGAGGATACGCAAGTTTCGTTACAGACGAATGATTTATTGTATGGCTAGACTGTTTAACAAGTAAACGTACATATTCAACTTTCTTCCAACTAGTCCGCCCATTTTTAGAGTTCATAAAAGATCAAATTAGTACGTATTATTAGAATAAATAAATAAAAAGTAAACTAGTGTAAAATTGATCGTAACTAACTGCAAATAAAATAGATATATTTTAAACATCAGTAAAAAATTTTTTCGGTGTGCGTGGATATAAACGTAATTAAGGAAACATTTGATCGGTGCGTAGCAGAAGAGTCACCACAAAATACGAGCGTTACCTTGAAGAAGGTTTGTTGCAGACGTATTCTCATGCCTCCTTGAACACGGTCTCAACTCAACTCTTTGTAAGCAAAGATCAAGTTCCGCTTCGGTTCACAATTCCATATCATCCAGACCATCCTCGTCGTCGTCACCCAAGTACCCGTCATAGGAATTCCTGTTACCATTCTCGACATCCGCATCCAATTCCATTTCCTCAACTTCGATTACAGGGGATGACGGATTTTCGGGAATCGGTGACAGTTTGCTATTTTCCATGATATCCGAAACACGTCGCTCATGGTTTGCATCTTTATCCTTTTATCACAGAAAATTCTTGAACCCCCTTTTCTTTTCTTTTTTTTTCTCGACCCGACGGACCGAAAAAGAAATCACATACCTGGTCGGAGGTCTCTAGTGGCAGCCATGGTGGTCGTTGATACAACACCAGTGCTCGAACTGGGTTCTCCCTGAATAAATGTTTTTGTTCACAACTTACTTTAGCCTACTCCTACCCAATATAACGATTAAAGATCATCACAATAAACATGCGCACGTCCTCGGGAGCAACAACTCCTGTGGTATCTTCTTTAACGATTTTCTGATTTCACCGGGCATAAATAAGGATAATTTTTTTTCATTCGCTTCTTCCTCACTTATCTCAGCGTCGGCAGCTTCCGCGTCGAGATTTGTGACCATCACAACGTGCTTTCGTCTAGCTAGTGATTGAGCCGACTTGTTAGAATTACCCCCATCGAGTTCCATTACGTTAACCTGCCTTTCTGTTAAATTTAAAGAGCTGTTAACAAAAGTTTGTTGGCTACTCACAAGGCTTGTATTGTAATTCTAAGCTTCTGAGCATAGAAGTTTACAAAAAGGTAAACCTTCTTTGTCACTTCCATGAAGACTCAAAGCGGTCAACTCGGAAGATAGGAATTCTGATACATAACGTCGCTTGGCTCGTTCTGTTTCCAACTGATCTATGTCCAACTCGATGGGGTGTTCACGCTTTCTTGGAGCTGAAAATGTGAAAAATGATTCGGCATTCATTTCGTTGGAAGAGTGTCAGACAAAGAGGTTACACATTAACCGTCAGCAACGCGTGGTTATGTGTGTGCATTGTAGGATTGTAGGCAATAAAATTCACATAGCACAACAACTGATGCTGTAATTAGGTGATAAAACATATCAGCAAATCTCACTAGCACGTTCTTTACGTAACGATAATAACATTGATGCAGGTATTTGGTGTCAAAAATCTTTGTGAAGGGGCTACTGTCGTCTCCAGAAAGTATAGGATCTTCATTTTTTTCTTAAATATTACAGCAAAGATAATAATTGCTCAATAATTATCGCATGTGATTTGGCAGTTGGCAAATTGAGAATGTTTATCACGTGAATTTCATTTCATAATATAAGTACATATAAAAAAATACTTGAGAATAATAAAACTAACAATACGACCATTGAGGCCAACCTTGGATATGTTGCTATCTACCTGAAAAAGAAAAACTAGTAAAGGATCACTAGTATGAATAAAAATTTTTAGAAGAAAAGACTATAGGACTGAAAGAAATAGTTAATCTATATTATTTTTTACTATACACTTACTGTATATAGGAAAAAGAAATTTTTATTCAGAATATTTATTAAATCCAGTATATAAGAAATGCCAGACATTCATTTATATATAATAATTTGATTATATTACAAATTTTTCAATTATGTTTATACAATATTAGTTATATTTCAGATATCTTTATCTAGAATCCCTTGATAATATAAAAATCTCAATTATTATCTTTGGTAATAAACTTATACTTCTTTATAAGAATTTTCAAAATATCAATAAATAATATATAGGAATTGGATATTAATGTTTAATAAGATCTTTAGAAATTAAATTCTTTTCACTGATCCCTTAACAATACATAAAAAAGATGTTCACAAAAAATTTTATACTTTTCTATTAATAAAGTCTTCTTCTTAAAACAATTTAAAGAATAACTTCAAGAGTTTTTCCCAACTCCTCTCTTTTATTTATATTTCTTTTCAAACAAAAACTTAACTTTCAGTAATCAAGAAAAACTAAAAATACATCTGTTTTGCTTATGACAAAAAAGTTCTAAAAAAAGAAAATCTGATAGTGAAATATTGAAAATCTATTTTCCTAAAACAAAAGTACAATTAAAGATTTTTTGTAATGGATAGATAGATAAACAAAAGCCTAAACTTGAAAACTTTTTTTCTACTATTTTTATCTTCTTAAAGTTATTATTTTTTAGAATTTTAGAAAATTTTATCGACTCTGAATTTTAAAGTAACACAAAATTGATATGGTTTATGCTAAAGATAATTGATCCATATAAAATACATTAATAGCAGAATATAAACAAGCTTTTACTAGTTACAATATATGTTTTAATAATGTCATTAGTAAAAAAAAAAGAGATCATTGATTTGAACTTCTCTATCTTTTCAAATGAAATATAACTAAAGCAAAAAAATTATAAGACCATTAGGATAGATACTAAATTCATTAAGTGATAAAAATATAATTATTTGTTTAAGCTGAGATTTCAATTTCTTATTATTTCAATCAAGCAAAATACACAAAAAAAATTATTTTCTTATCCTAATTAAGCTATAAGATTAAAAGTTAAAGAAATATAAAATATTGCTCTTTTCTAAAATTGAGAATACATTTTTACAGATACTATATAATAATATTATAAATGATAAGAATCTCTACCATTGACTTTACTCCTTCTACCATTACAAAACAATAAATTGTCAGGAATCTAATTTTTAAAATAATTAAAAATGGTTATCAGTAAAATTCCTTTAACTAGATATGGTTGATGAAAAATATCAGAAGTTATATATTAAGATTGAAAAACTATATAAAAACCTGGAATCTATAATCAACTATTTTATTTATGAGATAAATACAAAATCAAGACTAAAAAAAAAGAAACATTAAATGAGATATTGAATCTAAATAGATGATAAGTATCTTGGATAATTGCAAAAAAATAATTAAAATCATGAATAAATAAGTTTTTCAGGTAGTCAGAAAGAAGAAAAATATTTCAGAAGAATTAACTTCTAATAAGAAAAGATTTATAGTAAAGGTTCTTTGGAGAATATGAAGTGTTTTTATTTTTATTTTTTATTTTTTCTCTTTTATATAGTCCACTTGTATATTTTTATATAAACTATGATCTTTTCTCTTTTATTATTTTCTAAAAGTATTATAACTATGAAATAAATACCTCATTTACTAGAATGAAATTTCAAGGACTTATTTTACTTGTAAAAAATATAATTATTTCATTATTCTAGAATCATTCCAGAGTTTTTACATTCTGATTTAAATGGTTTTTTTATTCTTATATAACATATAATACTATTAAACTTATATTTTTTCTTTTAATATACTTAGTATTGATAATAAGCTATAATTATTAGGATTATAAAAAAAGAATACTTCTTTTTTTAAGAAACTAGCAAGTAAACCATGACAAATTAGTTGGAAAGAATTTAGAAAAATTGAAAATTCAATAAAGGATGTTTAATTTTTTTAGATAAATATAGTAATAAAAATTTAATTCAAGAGAATATTTTCAGGCAACAAGTCATACAGTAAATCTATTAAAGGTCAGATTTTAAAAAGTTTAATGATATAAATAATATATGACTTCATAACAACTTTTATAATTTTTGTATTAATTTATATATTACTTAATCAAAGTTAATAAATATGGTTAAGCTTCTATTTCAAAAAAATATATATATATAATATAAATTAATTAACTACAAAAAATTTTTTTTTGAATTCTTTTTTATTTGATTAATCTATTTTAATTCTTTTTAATTTCAATCTTAAATTAAATTTCTAATATTAATTTCAATAATTAGATTGTATTATATTATATAAAATAAATTTATTCTAAATTTAAAATTTTATTATATTATTATATTATAAAAAATTTTTTTTAACTTATTTAATTAAGACATATATTTTATTATTAAAAAAAGTGACTCTTAAAATTATTCTTCAAGTTGTTTTAAGAAAAGTAATATAACTTTATTAAAAGAAAAATACAAAACTTTTTTACAAATATCTTTTTTATATGTTATCAAAAGATCAATAGAAAGAGTTCTTTTAATAATAATGACATATTATATAAATTAAATCAAATTCTTTTTTTTTTTGAATATCTGTAGTCAGGTTAGATTATTGATTTATTAATCAATTAAAAGTATAAGTATATTTTCATTCAAATAATATAATGCATATTATCGCTAAACTATTATTCTAATCTAACTAACTTATAATAAGTATAAAAGTCCCTAAATTCAACCTTGGAGACAATATTTTACTTCATAATATCTTTGGATAAAAACTCTTCTAGTCCACTGCATAATTGTCAACAAGTTGTCACTGTCATATGTCTGACCAAGCCACTGGAATATAAAAAAATGAATTGAAAAAAAGAGGAAAGAGATATTTAAAAATATTTAAATAGATAACAAGAAAATGAAAAAATTAAAATTAAAAAAAAATTTCTAGCTTTTTTTAAAGACCTGCTTCTCAAGATCTCTTCTCAATAAGAAATATTCAATTGAAATACCCTTTCTTTTTCTAATTATCTAAGGAACTTATCTATTCATAATCTTGATTTCCTTCTCATATACTATCTAAGAAGACTTATTACCTAGTGATAGTCTTTACTTCCAGAACACACTTGGTTCCAATCTTCTTTGAATAGTAATTTTTTATCTACCTATGATAATGATAGGTCCTTAAAATATTTAACATATAAAATTTTACAGATCACTTATATTCCTTTTTGAGAGACAAAATTTATAGCTCTTTACTTTAATAGGAACAAAAGTTAGAAATGCTATAAATTAATGATTTGG